CTGAAGAAAACACAAGTCATGGGCCAGGGCGTGGACTCACCTCCCTCTATTACCATCTCCACACAAGAATTGGAGATTGTTCATGACTTTGTGTACCTTGGCTCAACCATCTCTGACACACTCTCTCTAGATGTCAAGCTGGATATACGCATTGGCAAAGCAGCTACCATGTTTTCTAGACTCACAAAGAGAGTATGGCTAAATAAGAAGCTGACAACATATACCAAGACCCAGGTCTATAGAGCCTGTGTCCTGAGCACACTCCTGTACTGCAGTGAGTCCTGGACCCTTTGTGCATGGCAGGAGAGGAAGCTGAACACCTTCCATATGCGTTGCCTCCAACACATTTTTTGTATCACCTGGCAGGACAAAGTCCCAAATAGAGTAGTCCTAGAACAAGCTGGAATTTTTAGCATATATACATTACTGAAACAGCGACGTCTGTGTTGGCTTGGGCATGTCGTGAGAATGGCTGATGTTCGGATTCCAAAAGATATCCTGTATGGAGAATTAGTGGAGGGAAGCCGCCCCCGAGGGAGACCCCAGCTGTGATACAAGGATATCTGCAAGCGGGATCTGAAGGCCTTAGGAATGGACCTCAACAGACGGGAAACCTTGATGTCTGAGTGTTCAGCCTGGAGGCAGGCGGTGCATCATGGCCTCTCCCAATTTGAAGAGACACTTGTACAGCAGCCTGAGACAAAGAGGCAGTCCGAAAACCAGCAAAACCAGGGAGCTGGACAAGGGACAGATTGTATTTGTCTTCAGTGTGGAAGGGATTGTCACTCTTGAATTGGCCTTCTCAGCCACACTAGACTTTATTCCAAGACCTCCATACAGAGCACATTACCATAGTCTCTCGAGACTGAAGGATGTAAAAAAAAAACATTTAGCTGAACCATACACTCAATGTTTGCAAGGCTCTCTTGAATCCTAGAGTCTCAGTTACAACAGTCCTGCCAGTAGTGAATAGTAAGAAAGCAACTTTTCTGAACACGCCATCAGACCATGTCAGCTATTAAAAAAGAACACATTGACAATAAAGACAGTAACAAATACTTGAAGTGTGAAACACAAAATTATTATTGGCAACTAAAAATTAAAATAATGAATTATTTAACATTGTATCTATATTTTCAATGAACCCAATAAACTCCACAAGAACAAGGAATGATTACATGTTATTTTTCCTTAAACCAATTGCTTTCATCACAAAGAGGGCAAGCATCTGTGTGTCACACTCAGGGAAAATTCTGTTTGCTCTCATCCTCCCCACTTTTTCATGCAGCGAAGGAACACAGAAAAATAATATTGTACAGCATCTCATCTGTTCTATTTCTTTCATATCTAAGGATTACCTACACTCTCCCTCTCTTGCCAAATATCACCGCTTTTGGTTTAATATGATTAATTACTAGCTCATAATCATGCCAATTAGCACTAAACATCCTCAGATATTTAAGCACACTCACCTGCACAGCAGAAAAGTTAAATCGTATCACCTGCATAACAAATTCTTCTTCCCAAATATAAAGAAATAAACAGAATCCCAATCTCCATCAGGGTTATAAAACTCTTGTCTGTTTTATTATTGTTTAAATATATTACAAGATGCCTTGAGGATTTGGGCAAGAATGCAAAGTAAGTCATTCAAACATTTACAAGAATAAAGATGAGGTAAACACATCCAAAGGGAATTGGAACAAGCACGGATGAGAGAAATTCACAGGAGGTGAACGAACAGGAGAATGGAAGCCTGAATTATATTTCTCACATACACACAGCTCCCTTTGGATGTGTTTACCTCATCTATATTCTTGTAAATGTTTGAATATATCTCGTATGTGGTTTCCCTAGTTCTTGCCTCTCTGGCATTCTTTACTGCACCGCAAAGCTGCACTGCTGACTCCAGTCCTTTGGAAGAATGTTTCAGGGAGGCCGATTATGAGGAATTTCTAGAGATAGCCAGGCACGGACTAGAGAAGACGTCCCACCCAAGACACGTGGTGATCGTGGGAGCAGGAGTAGCCGGGCTCAGCGCAGCCTATGCTCTCACAGAGGCTGGGCACAAGGTGAGTTACTGACACCTGTCTAGCATCTTGTGTGTATGTATGTGTGGTTGTGTGTGTGAGAGAGAGAGTGTGTATGTGAGTAAGTGTGTGTGTGTGTGTGTGTGTGTGTGTGTGTGTGTGTGTGTGTGTGCGAGAGAGAGAGAGAGAGAGAGATGCTGGTTGGATAGCTCACTGCTTCAGGTATCTGGCTGAGGAGTCAGGTTTCGTAAATTTGGCAAATGGCCTAAATCATCTCTCTCCAACACCAAAATTATTGCAGCTCTAATTATAGTCTGCCTGTGACATCTCTTTTAGCTGCTAATTTCTCAACACTTGGATTATTATATATTGGGAGGCTTATTCATACATGCCTCGTATGCATTTGATGGTTGCCACTCAGATGATGATTTGCACGTATGGACTGTCACAGGCAAAACCATCCTTCTTCTTCCAAATGCAGGCATGTTTTAAATTAATTTTATTTGAGATAGAGCATTCCAACCAGGGCATCATTCCAATCATTCCAATCAGGGCATTTCTGAGCCCTTTATATTTTCTTTTAGTCTTGATGGGAGTCTCCACTAAATGCTTTGTAAAGAATTCTGGGGAGCCAGACTATGTGATGTGACTACGTTCACATCGCCCTTGTTTTAATAACACGACAAACAGAGAGGTTTTTTCTCTGTCCTATCTTTTAATGTCACAACCCACCTAATATGTCATATAGTTGTCACCTTGCAAAATACTGTTCATCACAACAGGATAATTAGGAATGCACCAAATTGTTAAAAAACAAACAAAAAAACTCAGAGACCCCTAGTCCTGTACTAGAAAGGAGCGGGATGGAATGATCTAAGTAAAAACACCTGCGGACAATTGCAATTTGTACCACAATCCAAACTTTACCAACAGTGATCCAAATAGCAATCTATAGTCTCATCTGGATAGACCCTAAGATATTCAATATGGAAATGGAGCCAGAAATTCTGACAGAAGCAATTGTCAGAGTGCAGCAAGAATTGTTCTGTTCTGCCCCTAGGTGACAGTTCTGGAAGCCAGCGAGCGTGTGGGAGGACGGACGGAGACTTATCGCAATGAAAGAGAGGGCTGGTATGCAGAACTAGGCGCCATGCGCCTGCCGAAATCACACAGGTAAGGTGTGCAGCAAAATAATACTTATCCTGATGGATTTGCAGTGTACGATGTGTCTTGTTCATGTTGGTATTCCTGAATTGTCTACCTTGGTGTAGACAACTCCAACTCTTTGGAGAACAGAAGAGCTCAGTCTCTGGCTCCTATCCTGGAGTAAGTTTGATATATAAATAAGAAAGCACACGCCGAGAAGATCTAGCCTGAGAGGTTCACGACTGCGGTGATTTCATCAATTAAAACCTGGCTACATGGTCTGTAGCAATTCACATTAAGTGACGAAGAGAAAGCCACTGCAAAAAGGCAGGACTTGCTGAGGATCTATTCAGTGGGTTGGATCCAAACTAAGTCAACTGAAGAATTTGAGAATGGCTTTAGTTCTGCAGATTTCAATGGGAGCAAAGTGCAACTATCTCAATCTGGATACAATCCATTATAGTTTATTCTGCCTAAGAAAATGATCTCCCACTCCGCTTTAGGACTGCAGAAAATGGGGCCCTCCTAAAACCCTTCCACCCGATTTCTTGATTCCTGGGACTTCAAATTACAGACACCAGCCACTTTGGATTTGGTCACTTCACTGCCACTAACCCAATTGTTAGGCTACAATCTTTCAGAAACAGTTGGGCCCCTTACTTCTGAAAGGTATCTCACAAAATCTATACCCCCCTGGGTTCCAGAGAGATGGGATTCTCTAGCTGCTGTTATTTCAGGATTGGTTTCCCTTGGTAGCTGATTTTGTTACCTAAAGTATTTCCATAAAGACCTATTTTTCTTTTCTTTTTTTCACCCAGACCTATCTTCCCCAGACACTATTACCAATCCAGTCTTCAATATTCTACTTTTAAAAAAAATGTTTTACTCTAACAAAGTCACTGCATTTTGTAGGCGACAATAAAATTAATAAAGAGAGGAAATTGCCTCTGTGCAAAAAATATGGTCTTGCACTTTGGTATCTGTGAGGAAGAAGGGAGGTTCTCCCTACCCAGAATTCTACATTTCTTTATTATTTTAATATACACAGAAAGATACTATGTATTGTATTAGCACACACTAAAGGTGTGCCTTGGCCCTCCAACCCCCACTCCGTTCCCAAACAAGAGCACATGGACTGGAGCCGGACCCCATCCTGTAGCCTTTCAGAGACACTGGGACCTGATTCTTGCCTGGGCTTTTGCTGGCATTTGTGAGTTTTCGGTGCTCCCAAAAAGTCCCATTCTCATCAATTGGAGAAAAGCCAAGAGCAAGGCCAGGTCATTTGGTGAATGGCGTAAGCAGACCAGAAGAGCTTCTGCCTAGGCAGCAGCTGCCTGGATGCTCTATTGCATTTTTTTCATTTGTCCCCCTTTTCCAGCTTCCAAAGGAAATCTTCATCAACTTCTTAAGGCAATTGTCAAGAAGGGAATGAGGGAGGGACCTTAAAAGGGCAATGCCACCCTCCTCTCTGATTCCTTCTGAACAAGGCAACGCTTCTGCTTCTGTACACTTGTTGTCCTTTCTCTTTGTCTCCACCCTTCTTCTTCCCTCGATCTCAGATTAGTGAGTGTGTGGCTGCAGTACAAACTTTGATGATGTAATGCAGTGGTCTCCAACTGTTTTGACACCAGGGACCGGTTTAGTTGAAAACCATTCTCCCAAGGACCGGTGTGTGTGTGTGTTACTTGTTATGCAGTAGGTTGTTGGAGCTTCGAATGAGCTTTGAATCAAGATCATAAAGGAAATGGTGAGCAGGACCAGGAGGTGAGCTGCAATTGAAACTCCGCCTCCTGTTAGATCAGCAGCGGCTTACAATCTAATTAGGAGCTCAGGGTCCTATGAGATTCTAATGCCACAGGCACAGCTGATCTAGCAGCAGCAGGAGGGGAGTAGGGAGCAAAGCTCCACCTCCTGTCAGATCAGCAGCAGCATCAGAAGCCAATAGGAACACGATGACAGGAGGTGGAGCTTCACTTGCCACTCCCCTTCTGCTCGCTGCTCATCTGTCCCGGTGACCCAGTCCTTCCAAGGCCATGGAGCAGTACTGGTCTGTGGTCCGGGGGTTGGGGACCCCTGATATAACGAACATGAAAGGCACAGATGCTTCCTTTAGATACTAAAGAGCAGGGGTCTCCAACTCCCAGTCCATGGCCTTGGCAGGACCAGGCTGCGGAGATAGATTTCCCGTGCCCCCATATGCACTCCCCCCATGCACGCCTCCTTGTGAGCGCACCCCGCCTACCGGTGCATGCGCACAAGCGCCCCCACCCACATGCTAGCGTGCCCAACCTACCCATGCATGTGTTACCATGCACCCCGCCCACCCACAAGCACAGGAGGTGCCCCCCAACCAGTCTGCGGAAAAGGTTGGGGACCACTGGTTTAGAGTGTCTTTGCCACCAGCTCAGCATTTTCCTGATATTTTTGTTCTTTTTCCTCATTTCTAATTGTGAGGGCTGACTGCAGATTTAACAGAAGGGATCCATGGAGGTGTCACTCTGTCCTATAAAGGCACCTGGGATCTTTGCATTGTGGTTGCCCTGTCAATGCACAAATATCTGATGTGGTTTGTTTTTATATATTTCTCTGAATACAGTGTATGTATCTCATGTAAATAATGCTGATGTACCCCTACACGACTTTGCTCCTTGGTGGAAAAATGTCTACAGACACCACTGGGCTTATATTTAAGAGATGTACATCAGGACCACAGTATCTGTGGGGTATCAGTTCGAAAACATTGCCAAAAAACACTGAAATAGCAAATACTGTACACACATAGCACATTCTCTGGCTCCTCTAGTGGGCAATTCTGGCAAATGCATTTGAGGTTTTTTATTTAATATTTTCAGGCAGTGAATAAATTAATCTGCGTAAACTGATCCCATTGAGAGGGGTATCCAGCTGTATATAGTAGATTAAATTCCTTGACACATGCGCAACATGCTTATTCGGTTTATTTCAAGGCTGGCCTTGAAAGAACTCAGCATGTTTATTTCGTCTAATTGAACATCCTAATGTACTCACACCACTGAATTTCTGCCGTCATTTTTTCTTAACCAAAGATGTCTCTTGAGTTATAACAGTGACATGGCTAAGCCTCAGAGCTCCTCCTCTTAACAGCCAAGTGAAGGAAGAAAATGGAAATTTCATGTCATTTTTTTAAAAAAACTTTATTTTTGTACTTTTTGTTTAAGGCTTTGTATCACAGTAATGTTTTTACTATGCCTGTAACTTCTCTTCACCAGGATTGTCCGTGAGTACATTAGAAAGTTTGGCCTGAGGCTGACAGAGTTTGTTCAGGAGGATGACAACGCCTGGTATTTGCTTAATAACATCAGGAGAAGAATCTGGGAGGTCAAGAAGAACCCCAGCCTCTTGGGCTATGAGGTTGATCCCTCTGAAGAAGGCAAAACTGCAGACCAGTTGTATCAGGAGTCCCTTCGACAGGTTTAAGCACCTTTCCCTGACCTTTTATTACCCCGCTCTTCTGTGACCTGTTCCTAAAAGAGAACGATGATGCTAAAAGAGAATCTGGTTCAAACAGCTTCAAAAGATTAGATTCTCTGTATTTGGTGGTGGAGAAAAATATATTCTCCTCAGCATGGAGGAAAGCTGGTGATATGACAGTATAATTTTATTGTCACAGAAATTGTTATTGCAGACTTTTAATCGGTGGTACAGTGTGCACTATTGTGCTCTCCTATCCACCAACCATATCTGTGTTTATAATACATGTTATACAGTAGGACACCCCATATTTCCTGGAGATTGGTTCCAGGTCCCCTGTGGATACTGAAAAACGTGGATATTTGTAAACATGATAGATAGATAGATAGATAGATAGATAGATAGATAGATAGATAGATAGATAGATAGATAGATAGATAGATAGATAGATAGATAGATAGATAGATAGATAGATAGATAGATAGATAGATA